TGGTATCTACATTAATCTGGAGACGTGTCAGATTACTGTAGTTTGTTCAGTCAAACATTTTATGGCTTACAATTTAGCTATCTTACCATGACCGATGTAACATCGCAACCAAAGAAGAAATGGCAAATTAACCAGATCATTACTGTACCATGAATGCTCCTATCTCCGACACTTCACACAAAAAAATAACTCTTGCACGCCTTGCGTGCCTATGTTTCGATTAACTTATTCCCGGTCACAATTTATCCTACTTAACGGTCTGTCGCCTATGTATGATTATTTTACCAGCCATAACTTCCCAAGGTCGGGTTAAGTTATCTATCATTAGTTTAAATGTACTAGCGTTTTATCACGAATGCCGTTCTCTGATTGGCCACGTACTCACCATCTATTAAACAAGTAGATTATGAGCTCGAGATTTCTATTTAAACAATACAGTGTTTCTGTCGAGGAACTATCGGCTGATAGTTGCCCCGCGGAAATTTGATGTTCTTGAAACAAATATTTGTCCGAGAAGCGAAGCTTGGAGAGCAAATATGCTAGTTTTAAGAACATCAAATTTCCAATGGGCAACTATCAGAGCGATAGTTCCGAGACAGAAACACTCTATTGTCTTTATTGTTCACCACTAAATTATCTTCCGCGGGCCGGTTCAAAAATTATATTGAATTATTTTCAACATTTTAAGATGAAAGCCGTGACAGCCAGATGTAAAATTTGAAAAAGAAAACCGACAAAACCCACCTAATACAATTTCAATTCTTTATTTTCTACAAACCCGCTTGTTTACAGAAATTTTTTTACGGACGAGTACTATCCATCCGGATATTTTCCGCGGACGGGCACTATGGTTTGATAGTAGAGACCTTAAGCACTAGGACGGGAGTCACGCCGACGGCATACCGGAAGTTTATTTTCTGTCCCAGTCATGCGCACAACCTGAAAAGCTGATTGCAATCTGCCGTCGTCCTGACGTTGGTGACGCCACATTTACTGTTTTGACGTAGTGTGGACAACGTGATAGTTCATCGCAAAGTTTTGAGCCCTTTTCTTTGATTTACCGTTATCAACTATCACCTCAGAAATATCGAGCTCATAGTTTAATTGTTAAGTAGATAGTGGGTAGCAGTGTGCGCTTGGTAACGAAGTTGGTGGTCCTTTCTGCGTTTTTGAAGTGTGTGTGAAGAGGGAGTTAGCTGTTTAGATAAAGATTTGGGCCGGGTTGTTCGAAAGCTGGTTAACGCTAACCCAGGATTCAAAGTTAACCGAAGTAAAAATCTTTCTTGCATAAAAAAATACTTGAAGATATTGTAACTCCGAGCGGTATTTTGAGTGTTAACTCGAAGATATTGTTAACTCGATCTCTTTGCTCTCATTCAAATCTTAACTAAAATCTCATATTCTTAAATCCTATGAGACCATCATACCGTTATATCCTAGCCTTATCCAACTTGTAACGGCGGGCTTATTAAAACTCAAGACATTACTATGCCTCTTGATTTTTTTATTAGGTCCCCTTTCTTATGTCCCTTTTTTTCTTCTTTCAGAAACTGAACAAGTCTCAGATGGAACTGTTTTATTCTGGACAAATACAAATAGTCTTTTGATTACGAAGCTTGTCTAAATTATGTGTAAAATTATTTGATTATAATGTTCCATTATCAACACGAAATATGAAACGTAGTAAGGACTCGTGCAAAAGCTTTATAGCAAAGCCTGGCTCACACTAGCGACATAACGACAAAATCGCTTATGTCGGTAATGTGAGCATCGACATGAAGACATACGGAAAATATCAGTGTTTATTTTTCCTTATGTTGCTATGTCAGTATGTCAGGATGTTCACAGTGCAAACATAACGACATAAAGTCCTTTTAGTGTTGTTATGTTTATGCCATAACGACGGTCGTTATGTCGCTAGTGTGAACTAGTCTTAAGAACCCTTTCCAGATCCATATTTGAGGTCAGGTTGTTTGGTAGGTAACATTAACGTTGGCAGACGTAAATTAAAGCCATGCCAGACGATTTGATACATTCCAAAGCACAAAACCTAGTACAACAACCTTTGAGATAGCTTTACAACGGACGGTAAAAGTTGGCGCAGTGGTACGATGTTTAATAACTGGTGCCTCCATTTCTGGTGTACGCTTATTTCTATAATTTACATAAACATCTTCAAAAAGGTTTAATGAACGGTGGGAAGCAATTGAAAAGCGAGCTTTGAGTGTACTTCAACTGCATAAAATTAACGACTGATCGATCGACTGTCGTTTGGCCTTCATTACTATAACTCACTCATTACGCATGGGTGTAATGGTCAAATTAAAAAAAGGAATGCTCAGTTTTGCGACAAAAGAGAACAAGGAAGAAAAGGGTCCAATATCACGTCATCAGAGGGGTAAGACGCAGCAATAAGTCAAGGAAAGACAGAAACTCGTTAGCAAATATTTCATTTATTTATTAACTGAAACAATACTACGCAGTACTAAAGTATTCTACCAAAGACTAGGTAATTATCTATTTAGCACTACCGCGAAGTGTCGCGAATGATCCTGGACTGTCTTGTATATATACTGCAATGTATTGTGAAATAATTATATTCTATAACCTTTTCAATTCAAGGTAAGGTAATAACTTACCACTTATTAATTTACAGTGTATACAACACTATTAATTATGACTTCTACTGTATTTACACGGAACCCCCACGCCAAAAAAAAAAAAAAAAATGCTACTTAACCTTTACTATTGGAATATACAACGCAACGCTAACAATTAATTGAAACAATTCTTTCCTCTTTCTTTGCAAATGTGAAACTAGCAGGAAGTGATACCGCGAACCAAGCTCTATAGCCTTACTTTAATATATAATTATTATAACCTGCCATTCTCAGTACGATTGCAGGATCCCGCTAAACTGGGGCCAAAAGCTGCCACTCAGCAACACCACAAAAATCTGGCTTTGTATCTACATGTACCTAGGTATGTTCTCTGTTCAAAATATGACCACATGATATGAAAAGAAACGAAATGTGACCAGGAACGCAGGGCTAAAGATGCAAGACTTTGCTAACACTAAATAGGCCACTCTGTAGTCGGTCAGATCAAAGTAATGTGTCAACTGTCAAAAGAGTATGACGTAGGTTGCCGTGCTTCCATCCCTCCACGTGGGATCCGCCACCACCTTTGCTCGACACATGGGACATGTGCGCTCTCGGTCAAACCACAGTGATATGCAGTCTTCACAAAAAATGTGCTGCAAGACAAGAATACCGAACCAGGATTTAAGCCATGCCTCGACTGAGAAGGGCAGAACTACTTTTGCACAGTTGTGTACAAAAATGTCAGACTATCTGGCAACATTAATGCAAGAGATGATTGTTAAGGTGAAGAGATTCCGTCCATATCCGTTTGCAACCCAATCCTGTGTTTTGGCAAATGGCTATTTTTTTCGATCGACTGGTCCAAAAATTTCCGAAAGTACATTATTGCTAATCGAACAAAAGTAGAATCCAAGCCAGAGGTTATAATGTTCTCAATTACAGCTTGCCTGGCTTTCAAAACTATAGATCTAAATAACGTTAAAAGTCAAATAGAAAAGGCAAGACGAATTGCACTGTTCTTCACTTAGATCCACTATATCGTCAAATTGTGCAACACAAAACAGAGATAGCGAAGGGAATCTATAGTAAGGGGTCTTGGTTTAAGAATGCTTGACGTAAGGGTTTCAATACCTTGCATGATCGGAGCATGATGGGTTCCTTTAGCTCCTCCTGGCAAATTGGGCACGAATTTCCTGCTTCAACTATTTCTTCTTTAGAAGGGGGTGAGCCATATTGCTGCATCATAAGACAAAACAAATAAATGAGAACAAATTGGGGGGCGGGTTTTATAAAAGCCAAACAAAACCAGGAACATATTTAAGAGTTACACTACAGTAACATCTTTTCTGTTTTTTAAAAAATTATAGTGTAATTAAACATTAAATGCTTCCTACCACATCATGGCCAAAAACTTTGCAGGCAGCATACACCTCTTGAATTTTGTTAACAATCATGCGAGCCTGTTATTAAACGGTGAATAAATCAATTATTCTTAAACACAGTGACCATAACTGCCCACTTCCCAGCAACCTGCTTCTCTAACGTTTGATTTTGGAAGCACTTAGACATCTGTTTTTTTCTCTTTGTAACATATAAAATAATATAAACTTCCTAATTCATTCCGTCCATCACTGTCAACCCGATACAACCCCCAAAAGAGACAATTTTCATTCGTATGCTTGAATTCCAGTTTGCCCTTGGGACAAGTAGCTCTCAAATCTTGCTTGTCCTGGGCAAGTCTTGGTGCGCTTTGTTAATGATTTAGTAGGTAAGAGGACTTGCCCGATCCCTTGCCCATCAGACAAACGAGAAGGAAAAGTTACTTGCCCAGAAGGAAATTAAAACTAGTTGTCTAGACAAGTGGACATCACTTTTTTCGAACCTTGATATGAAAGTGAAGGGTAAGGTGTCCATTACATTTCAGGCTTAACTGTTCAAGAATATCTACAATGTATATCACGTCAATAATGACATGCACTTTTCAGATGGACAACTCCACACTATGGGTCATGAATGATGCTTTTCAGGACCTGAAAACAGATTTTACGATTAGTCCCAGAAGTTCACCTGTCTGCTAATTACTTAACTAATAAGATGCACTTTTTGGCTTGACAACACCACTTCAGGTAGAACCTTGATTTGACGATCTGTACAACCTTTACATTTACATTACTCTACATTTTGGGGGTTGTGCCATCTTGAGGGCAAAAGACATAAAATGGAGTAAATAATTTGTTAATATTACCTTAAGTAATAGGTAAATTGTCGTTGCTATGATAGCAAAGTACTCGCCACCATAGTTGTACTCTGTGAAAAAGGCAAACCACAGTGGAACCGGTACTAGCATGCGGTATAACTGTGAAAAATTTTCAATCAACAGGTAGTACTTGCCCTGTGGATTTTGAGCAAAAGAAATATCTCAACACTTAACAGATATCAAAAGTGTAACAGTAAAAGAAAATAAATAACCACACTGTTATTAAGAGTGATGCAAATGCAAGATAAGCTCGGGAGAATGTGAAAGCAGTGATGTGTAAGGTAATGCCTACATACCAGGTTACCTAAATTTCAAACTCTCCCAAACTTTGTTTTGTAGTATTTACAGTTTAATACACATGCACACCAGTTTTTACATGTGCATTGCATTTCTTTAATGAAACAATTATTTGGCAGATGGCAGGTCTACATGTATATTGACACAGATACAAATGTCTCCGAGTCCTACATTATTTTGTAGTGAGAGGTATGACATAACTTTATGTCATATAGCCCTGATGCTTTTTGTGGTTAATACCGTAGGGGTCACAATCGATCAGTGTACATGTATATACCAATTTCACTGATGCCACAACCTGTTTACAAGTGACACTAGCTATTCTGGTAATATTTGATAGATTATTCAAGAAACAAAGAAAAAAAACAGAAACAGTTACCCTTCTTCTAAATGGAATTATCTTTCTGTGCTGGACTACCACCATGGACTTCAAAGCCATTGTGATATATCGAATCACAAAATCTACAAGAGTAAAAAAAATAAGAACTGATTACTCTTAAATGACTAAATGCCAATACATTTATTATTTACTTCTGTTACTCACCTGTGATTCCGACACACCAAAACACAGTCCACACGTCCATTCTGTTAAACAGTGGCTTCCTAAAAATCAAGCTTAAGAGAAAACATCCACTCTTCAGTACATATGGGTTATTGACCAAGCGAGAGGTGAAGATTACTAGATATTGCCAAGTTCAGTTTTTGCGTGTTAATGGACCAAGGCGGAGTCAAGGTCCATAAACTAAAAAAAAAAGGAACAAGGCCAATATCCAGCCATCTTGACCAAACAAGCTTAGTCAATAAAGGATTTATTATGTGGCTTTCGGGCAAATTTTTCTTGTGGGACACAGCCAGTAGTCCTGAGCAGGCAAGATAGCCCCATCTTGCGTGTTCTTGGTAGCCAATCACAGTGCAGGATTTGGTTTATCTTGCCACTTACAGAGCTAGCCATAAAGTAAAAGTAAAAAATTACGGTATTATGCAAATACATTACAACCATTACCAGGTACAGGTCTTATTCTAGGATGAATGGTGGCCGATTCCCAAAAAATGAGCACCAAAGGCACAAGCTTCTAGAGGTGTCCATACTTCCCAAGGAAATGTTTTGGATCTTAGCCCCTGAAAGTGCTCTTTCCAAGTTTTCTGAGTAATTTTGAAAAATCTGACAGATTTCCATAACACAGTGGAAACTGGTATGGATACACACTTGGTTACAACAACAAATTAGAAGTATTGACAATCATTTCAAAGTAATTACAGCCTTCTTAAAGAACATGAAATGCTGACAGTGTTATAATATGCAAAAACCCTTGTGTAGCAATTGCTCATATTCTTTTTAATTATATAGACACGAGTGTTTTACTGGAAAATACACCACTCGTAAAATTCATACTAAACTACATCCAGGACTTGAGTGGTGTATTTTCCATATCCTCACTAATGAAGATAGCTATGATTTCACTGATATCAAGTTTGTCTCTTAAATTGTACTTGAATTTGTAGGTGTGTGATTGAAACATCTTTGGGTCTTCCTTGAAAGTCTTCGGCAATTTTCTGAAATCTTCGGAAATTTTCAGAAAATGTTCAGCAACATTTGTGTGACCTTCGGACAAGTTTTGAAGAATCTTTGGAAATCTTCAGAAAGTGGTCAGAAATCTCCAGAAAATCATCAAAAACGCCGTCATCAGTATATCTATATAATAAAAAGAACATTACACGTTAGCTCAAAGATATGAATTTTATGTTCTCGTGGCAGCAACAGTATCTCACGAGTGAGCGCAGCAAAGGAGTGAGATATTGTTCTTGCCACTCACACATAAACTTCATATCTTTTCGCCACCGCGTAATATCCTCTATATGTGTCACAGAAAAGACTGTCAATATACATGTTATGCCAAGCTAACGAACTGCATGAATAGTACAATGTAGTCTTACCAGTTTTCTAGGTGGTGATTGTAAAACACATAATAAATAAAGAAGACATTCCCAGAAAGAAAAATGAAAGTCCACAAAGAGATGCGATTGAGCCGTCTGTCCTATAAAATTAAAAAAAAAAAATTTACAATGATTAATTTTTCAGGAGACGTGTAGTAAAAGTTAATGAGAAAAAAATAAAACTACATACAACTCTTGCAAATAAATAGAAAATACGATATTTCTCTAAATATTGTTATTGCAGCAAAGATTAATTAATATAATATCAGTCTGCCAATTTGTATAAATTATGCTTGTATTTCAAATGCAGACATTCCACACCAAGAATCATCTATCACAAATTATAGAGCACTATGTTCAACACAAGAATGCCTTCTGGATCAGCCATCACTTCAAAGTAACTTGTATAAAGTCAAACTTTGAAGACAATACATGTCTTAATATTATTCACTCATTACATTCTATGCTCCTACATCTCTTTGAAGCCAGAACTAATAAGCCAAAGAGATGTATGATTATGCTTTGTTATAATTTCCATGTGGCATAACTGGACATTATAATCCATCACATTTTTCTGCTTTCATGCGATTGGTCTAAACATGTTATGTGACTGAATATGCCCCAGCTAAAAATTAGAGTAATATTCCCTAAGTTTCAAAACTGCAAAAACATTTGACAGATAATAAACACAATAGTGATTAGCCTGCATTTGGGTATGACCTGTCCCTCAAAGGTCAAAGTTTTACTTAAGCTAGGTTCTCAGAAAACTGTTCACTTCTCAGAACAGATAATTTCTGCAGACAAATATCCGAGCATATTTTCACGCCAAATGGAGGCTATTGTAATATTCCCTAAGTTTCAAAACTGCAAAAAACATTTGACAGATAATAAACACCATAGCGATTAGCCTGCATTTGGGCATGACCTGTCCCTCAAAGGTCAAAGTTTTACTTGAGCTATGTTCTCAGAAATCTGTTCACTTCTCAGAACAGATAATTTCCGCAGACAAATATCCAAGCATATTTTCACACCAAATGGAGGCTATTGTTTTTATAGCCAATATCTATGGACCAATCAGTTCAATCAAGGCATGTGCAAAATTTTCACTTATTTACATCTATAGTGGATACCATAACAATCTTGTAAATAAAGTGTTTCCTTGCTGAGTGTTTAGATTCAGTCAGGTGACCGTGTAACACGTTGCCAACCACCGGTAAATAAAGTGTAGTATCAGCTTTGGGGTGTGTTTTCAAAAAATATATTTACATACGCATGCTACAATATTTATCAAAAGAACGAAGCTTAAACTAACACTAAACAAAGTAAATGCTGTAAACTGCCTCAGATTTGACCCTATAAAATCGAAACTGAAAACGGAAGTAGATAGTAAAAATGTGAACACCATGTACCTTGAGAGATACTTGTCTCTTAACAGTGCTGTTAGCATGAAGAAATGTTCCACACAAGCCAATAAACACCAGAATGCCTACAAATAATCATAAAACATTTCTCACTTCCCCTTATAGTTTAACAGTCAAACAGCAAGTTTAGCGCCTCCTTTTCCAGACGGATCGAAAATGTGGATTGAGAAATAGTAAATATTCATAACATTATTGCTACATGTGGCTGTAAAATACAAACCCAGTCTATGGTCCCACATGATTCTGCTTAGAAGTAGAAGCACGAACGGTAAACTTTTCTCCAGCCATGATATGGTGCCCTGGAACTCAACTCTATCACCAGCAGCACGGCCGTTTCCGTTACCAGAGGAGTTGGAATTCCCCGCCGCCATATTTGCGTCTCCATGCTCGCCGTCCGCTTCGCTCGAATTACCAGACGTTATGTTAACAGCGGTAAAGCTGGGTATCCTATTCGACGCCGTGTCTTCTGCATCATTCTCGTCTCTAAGAACTTCTGCTAAGTTCACGTAAGACGTAGGAGACAGAGGAGAAAGAGGCGAACTGGAGGATGATCGCGAGCCAGGACTTCGGTGCCCAAAACTTGGGACAAACTCACGAATCACGGATCTGATGGGATTTAAAGGTGCCAGAGTGATTTGACCATTGCCCGAAGTGTATGACCATGAGGCTGACCGTGAATGGGAGCCTCTCTGATGGAAGGCAGAAGGTGTTCTTGAACTGGGAGAGTAAGCCCCATGTTCCGCCATGTTTGGCAGTGACGAATGTTTTGCTAGTACATTTCGCGCCAGTCTAAAACGAAGGCATATCTCTCCATGGAAACGCCGCTGAGCTCGCAGTGACGCTTTCTTAAGATACCTTATCAGACCCATTTGCTTAAATTGTCTATGTGCTGTTATGTGTCTTGTTGTTGCTCACTCGTGGAACTGCATGTGAATAGCCCAATTTCGATATAATTTTAAAAAATTCAGCCTAAAGCAATAGTCCTCAGCACGAGGCTCTGGGGAATAACTACAGAGTTTGCGGAGTTTATTCCCCGGAGCCTCGTGCGAAGCTACAACGACAACAAGCTTTATTACCAAATTAAAAGTTAAACTTAAATTACAGCATAATATACTAATACAAATGAAGGTAACATTTACTCAGAGTAAATAAGAAGCTAATCGAGCTGAACAAAACTAAATAATGTTGTCACTCCCGACTCCCCTTGGGAGATTTTTTTGTCGGTCATGTGATGTGACCATTGGACTTTAGTCGCCATGTGTTCAAGTAGGCGAGTGTTTTAAATCGCAGGAGTTTGTCAAAAGTTATTATTGTGCCGTTCGTTTAGCTCGAAGCAAACAGTTCGGTAAGTTAACATTTCGCCTTTGCTATTCAAAGAAACATTTGGAACTTAATACCTTTTTGTAATTTTCGGAAAACCTCACTCACGTACACACTCATACACGTATGCCTTTGATGGAAGCGAAGAGTTTTATTCAAGTTGTTGTGACTTTGATCATTGACCGAGGTCGTGCGGTCGATGTGTGCCTTTTGAGCTTGAGCCCATTGTGAACTGTGAGTTTTCGACGTTTGTTTTGAGAGGAAATAAAGACAGGTACGTAAGGTACTGACAAATGTTTACATATCGGATGTAGGTTGGCACCAAAGCTTGAGGAATGCAAGAAGATGAAAAGACAAGAGAGAGACAAAAAATGAAAATAAAAATAAATACACAAATAAATAAATGAAATAAATAAATACCAGTTGAAAACTCATGAACAGTAAGACTAAGATATTTAACTTGACTTTGCTTTTAAACGTTTTAAGGGGGAGGTGTTTTATAGCATCCGTTCGAATTCATTTTCGTTCCATTTTTCCTTGGCCGTCCGAACGGTAATTGAAACCGTGTTAAACGGTTTGAACATCCGTTTCTCATCCGTTCGCTAGCCATTAGGTAGCTAGCCGTTCGTTTTGACCGTTTAACGCGGGTATCCTGTACTGTACGTTTTCGAGTGAGATGAAGCGCTACCTAACATTTTTTTCACTTCACACTTACATGTAACCAGAATTAAACAAGCCATGCAAAGCGCTGATGCGTTGCTGTATGACGCCTTACCCGTAGTGACGATAAGTCGCGTTCAGCGTAAAACAAAGTTCAAAACAATGACCTTGGTGTTGTGCATGCGCACGGCTAAGTGACAGAATAACGTCAGTCTGTTGACCAATCTAGTGTCCCACGCCCGAGGAAGGTTTGAAAAGATACATTACTGTTATATTGACCAGTAGAGACAGTACTCTTGAAGCAAATTTGTCTTGAAGCACATTTGTTTTGGGCGGAAGATAAAAATTCTCGGTAGAATTTTGTCGTCTTACAAAAGATAAGAATGTTTGCAGCCTTAGTTTGCATTGGGGGAAACTGGGTTTTTATCACACTTAGCGTATTTATCACGAAATCTTCAGGACCCAATGGGCTCCTTAATCTTTGCGTGTTGTTCCTCTCTTTGAGTGCTATAGTGTCCAGCTCGAAACGAAACTTATTCTTATTAATTGTTCTTCCCAGTATGTTTCTTTTAACGTTAATTCTGACAATTTAGTGCTCAATGATAACTTAATATATGTTAACATCCGGGCAAACAGACAAACATCTTTTTTTTTTTTTTTTCTCACATGTGTTTAACTAGGATATCAAGGTGGATTTCTCTCGTAACAATGTTTCCTGAGATCGAGGAAAGTCAGTTATCGCTACGTTGCTCCAATGTCCAGACCTAATAAATGATCGAAACCTAAGGTGAGACATACATGTTCTTGAGAGTTTTGAATACCCTTTACTTGGTTTAGTTATATTTAGTAGAGCCGCAACAAGGTTTAAGTATAGCCTGGGTAGCGCGAGTTTCCGCATTTTGGCTGCGCAAAAATTGAGCGAAGAAAATGTAGGGCTAGGAAAGGGAGGAGATAGAACGCAAAATATGCGTGATGACTACGAGATATGAGAATCATATATTTGGAAACTAAGATAATTGCAACTGACAATTTAACTCCACTCCCGAGATGAAAAGAACAAAAAGAATTTTGCAAGACAACTATAATGACAGAAATGCTGGGTGAATACATGACACATGTTGGTGATTTATTTGTTTTCGTTTTCGCTTAGAAAGAAAATATTTACACACATTAATTTCTAGCAACGTTCAAATCAAGCTTATAATTGCAAGAGAAGTATGCGGTATATTCTTCTACCTTATCTAGAAAAAAAAATATCTTATTTCCCTATTTGATGCTACTGAAGTTTAGAATGTTTTAGACTTTGCCGACAAGAGACAACTGTGTAACAAATCGTAATGCTCCATTCCCCATCGTTCACAACACGTATGGTGCAAAACCAAACGATGTAATCTGCTGCCATTGTTTAATCGCTATATATGATAGCCAACTGACTATCTAGCGGAACCATTGGCCGCCTTCCCGCAGATGTCAGGTGGCACTATAGACCTGAGAGAAAAACAAAGACTTTTTAGTGTATTTGCTGATCAAATTCAAGGTCAGATTTACGTAACATATTATTCTATGGATTCTAATAGGGTTGATCCCAAGGTCAGTTTATTCTGGCCCGAACGAAAGCTCAGTCAGTCATTTTCTTATTCCGCGGACCCCTTTAATACGGCCACCCCGTTAATGCCGCCATATTTTCAGTTAGGGGCACCTTGGTGACCTGATTAACGGGGTTTGACTGTTTTTTAATTTCATCGCCGTTTCACCGAAAAAATAGACCTTGACGTGCACGGCATATCTAGCCTTGGATGATCAGTGTAATCTAGTGTAGTTCTCAAAACTAAAATCGTGTATCAACTACTGCAATGTAATGTAAACTCTATACAGTTTTAAAAAGCTTATACGAGAAACAGTTTCAAGAAGAGGTGTATGCTTGCTTTTGGGACTAGTTCACTCGTCCTGATCAGAAACAGAGCTAAAAAGCGCCGCAAAAAGCCTAAATTTCTCATCGTTTAAGCGAAATTTAACAGGTATCATCCAGGGACCGTTAGCTGGGGTATCATCTTGCTGATCTAGTTACTCGGTTTACTTCTTCTCACGCCGGCTAACAGCCCAGCTCCAGGCCTTACGAGGATAGATTGTTTAAGGCCTGAGAATTTCTTTACTTTTCTAACTGAGCCTTTGCTATATAATCCCTGAGAGCCATTTTGTATCATTTTTCACAGGGCTTAAATCAAAATTTAATTCCTGTCGGGTGATGGGAAGGGCCATTAGGGATGGCCCAATTAGGAATCCCAAATGTTAGTATCTGAACATAACCTCGGTTGCCTTGCTGAACTTAACATACACGTTTGGCCGTTTTCATGACTTGTATCACACTTACTTAGATCGGGACTACTGGTCGCATGACGTTCTCTGTAAAACGGCCAAGGACGTTTCCAGGTGGCGCATACCGAGCCACTATGTAGGTCTGGATTGGGGGACGTCCTCCAACTACGGTGGCGATACCTGCTCCTACCATTGTAGTCCCATTCCAAACAATCTAACGAAAAAAAAAACATTTTCATCATGATGTGCAAGAGCACGATCTGTTTCATTCTCCCTAATTTACGAGGAAACGCGAAATTAATTCACAAGGCATGAGGTTTGTCTTGTGGCCTGACCGAATCTTTTGGACGATCTATTCGTTGCTTATTGTCATTCCGGCTTTAAGCCGGAGGGGGAACCCCCAAATGAAAAGGTCTAGGATACTCGTCGTGTGGCTTAAAGGTGTAAATCATAAAGGATTTTCATTAAGGGTGTTCAGGGTAAAACGTCATGATATACCTTAAAGAATTTTGTAGGGCTCCACTCAAAGAAGTAATAAGCATATGATGTCTGTCATTTTAAAGTGGTATCACATGGGTTTCAAATAATGCTTGTGCCACACCCAGATTGGTCTTCTTTAGGGATTTAATTAAAATGTTCCGAGGAGCATCCCCGATCTTTTCACATAAATATGATCCCCCGCCCTGGCCGAGGACACGCTGTTGTGTTCTTGGGCAAGACACTTAACTCTCACAGTGCCTCTCTCCACCCAGGAGTGTAAATGAGTACTTGCGAATTGTTGGGGAAACCTAACAAATTGCGGGGCAGTGACCTGCGATGGACTAGCATCCCGTCCATGGGGAGTAGAAATACTCCTACCCGCCTCATGCTACAGAAACTGGGATAAGCTCCGGCAGTTATGAGCCATCGGTTCTAAGGCTTCACTTTTTTTATGATCCCCCTCCCCTCCCCCGAGCCATTAAGCCAGAGGTAACGATCTCCTGTTTTACATTAGAAAAGAAATGTTATTGGATCAAAGGTAAATTTTGCTGTTGTCTTTCACAGTAGATGTCATTATCATACCTGAGTGAAGTGGCCGATGTCAGATTCAAGAAACTCTTGGATTGTTTGTGGCGGTCTGTCATAATCGTACAGAAGCTCTTCACTATACCTATGCAACAGCAGTATAAACAAGATATGTCGATCAGGAAATTGGGTTATTGCAAATTGGTTCAGAAAATTATGAGCCTTGATTCACAGTTCAGCAGACTATTTTGGCCCATTGCTCGAAGATCATCATCAGTGGTTTACACTTGAGTATCAAAAAGTATTTGGTGTTTTATTGGTACGATGCACGACTGGTTCACAGAAGCTCGCAGATGTTTGACTGACACGCTCGGAAACATTTTCCCGCGCTTTGAGTCAGCTATATGTATTTACGTCGAGTTTTGATTGGTTCGTTGGAGTGTCGGTGTGCTTTGTCATTGGCCAGAGGGATCACTCTGGTTTTGGTTTTACGACATTCTGTTGAAAACCGCTGTATGGTCTTTAACTACTTATAATTTATACTCAACGATATTTTTCCTTGGATGGGAGGCAGTTTTTGGAACAATTTAAGTAGTTGCTTGATGGGAGGTGGATAATATTTTTATCAGTTAAACTATCGGTATTATTTGAAATTGTGAATAGCACTACATTTTCACTCTCGCCACCCTCACCACCTCCACCTCTTCATCCCTTTATCATATGTACTTCGATCCACAATATCAATTGGACATTAGAGAGATACATCAGCCTCTATTGCGAGGAGTGAAGTGGACTGGACACCAGAAAGAAAACGAAAGAGAGAAAGACTTAAAGCAATATGGAATAAAGACAGTTGAGGACGAGCAGTGAAGACGTGACTCCTCTGGAGAAATCACTTTATGGAATTTTTCCTATCTTTTTGCCGGTCTTCAGATCAAAACTGTTACTGTAAAAAAACCGCGTGTAAGAACCTAGTGGATTAGGAACCTGGGAGAAATTTCCCATTTTAATACAAAAAATATGAGAACCAGTTTAGTCAAGCAAGATCAAGCAGGTTTTTATATGTGGGTTACAGTTAATAAATTATGAATTCTTGTTCTAGAGACAACGCTACACATATGTATTCCGTAATCAGTTGTGCTAGGCTCGTCATAATACAGTTGTGAATAAACGCTATATATTTAGACCAAATCCAGTTTTATTTATTTTTCTAGTAATCAACAACTATATCTCCTTCAAAGAAATTGAGAACATAATTAATAACCTACTTGCCCTAATTGTCAATAACAAAATACAAAAATCTATTTTTCTAGACTTCAAAAACTGTAGGTTCTTGCACGGGGGTCTTCACTGTACCTACCAGGATTCTACTGCGTCGGAGCAACTGCGGGTAGTTGAAGCCCTAACAAAATACAGATTTTCTCCTTCATCAATGCCCTGTTCGTGCACAAAGGTCTCTGTCGCTGCCAGGTGGTCAGCCCATGCTTGAGCATGCTGAGCCAGTACATCACTCCAGGCCAGCGGTTGTGACCCATGAAGAGCTCGCTTGGCGTTGTGAGCTTGCAGACAGGCAGCATCTTTTTTTGGTCCAAAAAAAAAAAAATAACAATTTTTCTATTTAATGGGCCTTTGAAATGACGAAAAGTTGAGAAAAGTAATAGAGCAAAGTAACCTGTGAGCGTATGCAGGAATGTCTATCCATAACGCGTGATATATCTGTCCCAAAATATAAATAATCACTACATAGTTCAAATGGGAAATATAACATTAACTAATTTCGGAATAGAAATCAGGCTAATAATGCACAGTGGAGTTATAGTGAAAGCAGCGAGTCCACAATGTTACGCCCACTTGCTTAATATAGATGTTAGATATACCATACATGTTTCCAAATCCTACCGGGACGGTAAGCCAAATTTAGTTTCATCCCTGTTTCAACTACGGAGATTAATTCGCTATTGGTAAGATGTTAACCAGCCGTTTTAACAAGAGTCCCATCTCAGAAGACCTGTCGCATACCCGACCGGTATTCAGGAGGTCATAAGTTCGTGCCCTATCGAGGACTCTGAATTTTCTCTCTCATTTTGTCAATATCGTTACAAAGAAACATTTCGCCAGCCAAGCGTCACTTTTACCATGACTTCGTTTCTACACTTAATTTTCTGTTCGCTATTTTGTTGATGACACAAAACATGCAGCAATTACAGCAAAAGCAACAAAGATAAGATGAAAATAGGAGGGAAAAACCTCACCTTCTGGTGCTAAAGTAGGAGGGGCCATAGTCGACGGTGGCTCAGTGGGCGGTGCCATGGTCGACGGCTGTTCCATAGTCGACGGCGACTCAGTCGAATTTTGAGCTTGAGCCCATTGTGAACTGTGAGTTTTCGACGTTTGTTTTGAGAGGAAATAAAGACAGGTACGTAAGGTACTGACAAATGTTTACATATCGGATGTAGGTTGGCACCAAAGCTTGAGGAATGCAAGAAGATGAAAAGACAAGAGAGAGACAAAAAATGAAAATAAAAATAAATACACAAATAAATAAATGAAATAAATAAATACCAGTTGAAAACTCATGAACAGTAAGACTAAGATATTTAACTTGACTTTGCTTTTAAACGTTTTAAGGGGGAGGTGTTTTATAGCATCCGTTCGAATTCATTTTCGTTCCATTTTTCCTTGGCCGTCCGAACGGTAATTGAAACCGTGTTAAACGGTTTGAACATCCGTTTCTCATCCGTTCGCTAGCCATTAGGTAGCTAGCCGTTCGTTTTGACCGTTTAACGCGGGTATCCTGTACTGTACGTTTTCGAGTGAGATGAAGCGCTACCTAACATTTTTTTCACTTCACACTTACATGTAACCAGAATTAAACAAGCCATGCAAAGCGCTGATGCGTTGCTGTATGACGCCTTACCCGTAGTGACGATAAGTCGCGTTCAGCGTAAAACAAAGTTCAAAACAATGACCTTGGTGTTGTGCATGCGCACGGCTAAGTGACAGAATAACGTCAGTCTGTTGACCAATCTAGTGTCCCACGCCCGAGGAAGGTTTGAAAAGATACATTACTGTTATATTGACCAGTAGAGACAGTACTCTTGAAGCAAATTTGTCTTGAAGCACATTTGTTTTGGGCGGAAGATAAAAATTCTCGGTAGAATTTTGTCGTCTTACAAAAGATAAGAATGTTTGCAGCCTTAGTTTGCATTGGGGGAAACTGGGTTTTTATCACACTTAGCGTATTTATCACGAAATCTTCAGGACCCAATGGGCTCCTTAATCTTTGCGTGTTGTTCCTCTCTTTGAGTGCTATAGTGTCCAGCTCGAAACGAAACTTATTCTTATTAATTGTTCTTCCCAGTATGTTTCTTTTAACGTTAATTCTGACAATTTAGTGCTCAATGATAACTTAATATATGTTAACATCCGGGCAAACAGACAAACATCTTTTTTTTTTTTTTTTCTCACATGTGTTTAACTAGGATATCAAGGTGGATTTCTCTCGTAACAATGTTTCCTGAGATCGAGGAAAGTCAGTTATCGCTACGTTGCTCCAATGTCCAGACCTAATAAATGATCGAAACCTAAGGTGAGACATACATGTTCTTGAGAGTTTTGAATACCCTTTACTTGGTTTAGTTATATTTAGTAGAGCCGCAACAAGGTTTAAGTATAGCCTGGGTAGCGCGAGTTTCCGCATTTTGGCTGCGCAAAAATTGAGCGAAGAAAATGTAGGGCTAGGAAAGGGAGGAGATAGAACGCAAAATATGCGTGATGACTACGAGATATGAGAATCATATATTTGGAAACTAAGATAATTGCAACTGACAATTTAACTCCACTCCCGAGATGAAAAGAACAAAAAGAATTTTGCAAGACAACTATAATGACAGAAATGCTGGGTGAATACATGACACATGTTGGTGATTTATTTGTTTTCGTTTTCGCTTAGAAAGAAAATATTTACACACATTAATTTCTAGCAACGTTCAAATCAAGCTTATAATTGCAAGAGAAGTATGCGGTATATTCTTCTACCTTATCTAGAAAAAAAAATATCTTATTTCCCTATTTGATGCTACTGAAGTTTAGAATGTTTTAGACTTTGCCGACAAGAGACAACTGTGTAACAAATCGTAATGCTCCATTCCCCATCGTTCACAACACGTATGGTGCAAAACCAAACGATGTAATCTGCTGCCATTGTTTAATCGCTATATATGATAGCCAACTGACTATCTAGCGGAACCATTGGCCGCCTTCCCGCAGATGTCAGGTGGCACTATAGACCTGAGAGAAAAACAAAGACTTTTTAGTGTATTTGCTGATCAAATTCAAGGTCAGATTTACGTAACATATTATTCTATGGATTCTAATAGGGTTGATCCCAAGGTCAGTTTATTCTGGCCCGAACGAAAGCTCAGTCAGTCATTTTCTTATTCCGCGGACCCCTTTAATACGGCCACCCCGTTAATGCCGCCATATTTTCAGTTAGGGGCACCTTGGTGACCTGATTAACGGGGTTTGACTGTTTTTTAATTTCATCGCCGTTTCACCGAAAAAATAGACCTTGACGTGCACGGCATATCTAGCCTTGGATGATCAGTGTAATCTAGTGTAGTTCTCAAAACTAAAATCGTGTATCAACTACTGCAATGTAATGTAAACTCTATACAGTTTTAAAAAGCTTATACGAGAAACAGTTTCAAGAAGAGGTGTATGCTTGCTTTTGGGACTAGTTCACTCGTCCTGATCAGAAACAGAGCTAAAAAGCGCCGCAAAAAGCCTAAATTTCTCATCGTTTAAGCGAAATTTAACAGGTATCATCCAGGGACCGTTAGCTGGGGTATCATCTTGCTGATCTAGTTACTCGGTTTACTTCTTCTCACGCCGGCTAACAGCCCAGCTCCAGGCCTTACGAGGATAGATTGTTTAAGGCCTGAGAATTTCTTTACTTTTCTAACTGAGCCTTTGCTATATAATCCCTGAGAGCCATTTTGTATCATTTTTCACAGGGCTTAAATCAAAATTTAATTCCTGTCGGGTGATGGGAAGGGCCATTAGGGATGGCCCAATTAGGAATCCCAAATGTTAGTATCTGAACATAACCTCGGTTGCCTTGCTGAACTTAACATACACGTTTGGCCGTTTTCATGACTTGTATCACACTTACTTAGATCGGGACTACTGGTCGCATGACGTTCTCTGTAAAACGGCCAAGGACGTTTCCAGGTGGCGCATACCGAGCCACTATGTAGGTCTGGATTGGGGGACGTCCTCCAACTACGGTGGCGATACCTGCTCCTACCATTGTAGTCCCATTCCAAACAATCTAACGAAAAAAAAAACATTTTCATCATGATGTGCAAGAGCACGATCTGTTTCATTCTCCCTAATTTACGAGGAAACGCGAAATTAATTCACAAGGCATGAGGTTTGTCTTGTGGCCTGACCGAATCTTTTGGACGATCTATTCGTTGCTTATTGTCATTCCGGCTTTAAGCCGGAGGGGGAACCCCCAAATGAAAAGGTCTAGGATACTCGTCGTGTGGCTTAAAGGTGTAAATCATAAAGGATTTTCATTAAGGGTGTTCAGGGTAAAACGTCATGATATACCTTAAAGAATTTTGTAGGGCTCCACTCAAAGAAGTAATAAGCATATGATGTCTGTCATTTTAAAGTGGTATCACATGGGTTTCAAATAATGCTTGTGCCACACCCAGATTGGTCTTCTTTAGGGATTTAATTAAAATGTTCCGAGGAGCATCCCCGATCTTTTCACATAAATATGATCCCCCGCCCTGGCCGAGGACACGCTGTTGTGTTCTTGGGCAAGACACTTAACTCTCACAGTGCCTCTCTCCACCCAGGAGTGTAAATGAGTACTTGCGAATTGTTGGGGAAACCTAACAAATTGCGGGGCAGTGACCTGCGATGGACTAGCATCCCGTCCATGGGGAGTAGAAATACTCCTACCCGCCTCATGCTACAGAAACTGGGATAAGCTCCGGCAGTTATGAGCCATCGGTTCTAAGGCTTCACTTTTTTTATGATCCCCCTCCCCTCCCCCGAGCCATTAAGCCAGAGGTAACGATCTCCTGTTTTACATTAGAAAAGAAATGTTATTGGATCAAAGGTAAATTTTGCTGTTGTCTTTCACAGTAGATGTCATTATCATACCTGAGTGAAGTGGCCGATGTCAGATTCAAGAAACTCTTGGATTGTTTGTGGCGGTCTGTCATAATCGTACAGAAGCTCTTCACTATACCTATGCAACAGCAGTATAAACAAGATATGTCGATCAGGAAATTGGGTTATTGCAAATTGGTTCAGAAAATTATGAGCCTTGATTCACAGTTCAGCAGACTATTTTGGCCCATTGCTCGAAGATCATCATCAGTGGTTTACACTTGAGTATCAAAAAGTATTTGGTGTTTTATTGGTACGATGCACGACTGGTTCACAGAAGCTCGCAGATGTTTGACTGACACGCTCGGAAACATTTTCCCGCGCTTTGAGTCAGCTATATGTATTTACGTCGAGTTTTGATTGGTTCGTTGGAGTGTCGGTGTGCTTTGTCATTGGCCAGAGGGATCACTCTGGTTTTGGTTTTACGACATTCTGTTGAAAACCGCTGTATGGTCTTTAACTACTTATAATTTATACTCAACGATATTTTTCCTTGGATGGGAGGCAGTTTTTGGAACAATTTAAGTAGTTGCTTGATGGGAGGTGGATAATATTTTTATCAGTTAAACTATCGGTATTATTTGAAATTGTGAATAGCACTACATTTTCACTCTCGCCACCCTCACCACCTCCACCTCTTCATCCCTTTATCATATGTACTTCGATCCACAATATCAATTGGACATTAGAGAGATACATCAGCCTCTATTGCGAGGAGTGAAGTGGACTGGACACCAGAAAGAAAACGAAAGAGAGAAAGACTTAAAGCAATATGGAATAAAGACAGTTGAGGACGAGCAGTGAAGACGTGACTCCTCTGGAGAAATCACTTTATGGAATTTTTCCTATCTTTTTGCCGGTCTTCAGATCAAAACTGTTACTGTAAAAAAACCGCGTGTAAGAACCTAGTGGATTAGGAACCTGGGAGAAATTTCCCATTTTAATACAAAAAATATGAGAACCAGTTTAGTCAAGCAAGATCAAGCAGGTTTTTATATGTGGGTTACAGTTAATAAATTATGAATTCTTGTTCTAGAGACAACGCTACACATATGTATTCCGTAATCAGTTGTGCTAGGCTCGTCATAATACAGTTGTGAATAAACGCTATATATTTAGACCAAATCCAGTTTTATTTATTTTTCTAGTAATCAACAACTATATCTCCTTCAAAGAAATTGAGAACATAATTAATAACCTACTTGCCCTAATTGTCAATAACAAAATACAAAAATCTATTTTTCTAGACTTCAAAAACTGTAGGTTCTTGCACGGGGGTCTTCACTGTACCTACCAGGATTCTACTGCGTCGGAGCAACTGCGGGTAGTTGAAGCCCTAACAAAATACAGATTTTCTCCTTCATCAATGCCCTGTTCGTGCACAAAGGTCTCTGTCGCTGCCAGGTGGTCAGCCCATGCTTGAGCATGCTGAGCCAGTACATCACTCCAGGCCAGCGGTTGTGACCCATGAAGAGCTCGCTTGGCGTTGTGAGCTTGCAGACAGGCAGCATCTTTTTTTGGTCCAAAAAAAAAAAAATAACAATTTTTCTATTTAATGGGCCTTTGAAATGACGAAAAGTTGAGAAAAGTAATAGAGCAAAGTAACCTGTGAGCGTATGCAGGAATGTCTATCCATAACGCGTGATATATCTGTCCCAAAATATAAATAATCACTACATAGTTCAAATGGGAAATATAACATTAACTAATTTCGGAATAGAAATCAGGCTAATAATGCACAGTGGAGTTATAGTGAAAGCAGCGAGTCCACAATGTTACGCCCACTTGCTTAATATAGATGTTAGATATACCATACATGTTTCCAAATCCTACCGGGACGGTAAGCCAAATTTAGTTTCATCCCTGTTTCAACTACGGAGATTAATTCGCTATTGGTAAGATGTTAACCAGCCGTTTTAACAAGAGTCCCATCTCAGAAGACCTGTCGCATACCCGACCGGTATTCAGGAGGTCATAAGTTCGTGCCCTATCGAGGACTCTGAATTTTCTCTCTCATTTTGTCAATATCGTTACAAAGAAACATTTCGCCAGCCAAGCGTCACTTTTACCATGACTTCGTTTCTACACTTAATTTTCTGTTCGCTATTTTGTTGATGACACAAAACATGCAGCAATTACAGCAAAAGCAACAAAGATAAGATGAAAATAGGAGGGAAAAACCTCACCTTCTGGTGCTAAAGTAGGAGGGGCCATAGTCGACGGTGGCTCAGTGGGCGGTGCCATGGTCGACGGCTGTTCCATAGTCGACGGCGACTCAGTCGATGGTGGTATAGTCGACGGCGACTCAGTCGACGGTGGTATAGTCGACGGTGGAATAGTCGACGGCGACTCAGTCGACGGTAATATAGTTGACGGCGACTCAGTCGATGGTGGTATAGTTGACGGCGACTCAGTCGACGGTGGTATAGTCGACGGCGACTCAGTTGACGGTGGTATTGTCGACAGGGACTCAGTCGACGGTGATATAGTCGACGGCGACTCAGTCGACGGTGGCATAGTCGACGGCGACTCAGTCGATGGTGGTATAGTCGACGGCGACTCAGTCGACGGTGGTATAGTCGACATTTTGAGCTTGAGCCCATTGTGAACTGTGAGTTTTCGACGTTTGTTTTGAGAGGAAATAAAGACAGGTACGTAAGGTACTGACAAATGTTTACATATCGGATGTAGGTTGGCACCAAAGCTTGAGGAATGCAAGAAGATGAAAAGACAAGAGAGAGACAAAAAATGAAAATAAAAATAAATACACAAATAAATAAATGAAATAAATAAATACCAGTTGAAAACTCATGAACAGTAAGACTAAGATATTTAACTTGACTTTGCTTTTAAACGTTTTAAGGGGGAGGTGTTTTATAGCATCCGTTCGAATTCATTTTCGTTCCATTTTTCCTTGGCCGTCCGAACGGTAATTGAAACCGTGTTAAACGGTTTGAACATCCGTTTCTCATCCGTTCGCTAGCCATTAGGTAGCTAGCCGTTCGTTTTGACCGTTTAACGCGGGTATCCTGTACTGTACGTTTTCGAGTGAGATGAAGCGCTACCTAACATTTTTTTCACTTCACACTTACATGTAACCAGAATTAAACAAGCCATGCAAAGCGCTGATGCGTTGCTGTATGACGCCTTACCCGTAGTGACGATAAGTCGCGTTCAGCGTAAAACAAAGTTCAAAACAATGACCTTGGTGTTGTGCATGCGCACGGCTAAGTGACAGAATAACGTCAGTCTGTTGACCAATCTAGTGTCCCACGCCCGAGGAAGGTTTGAAAAGATACATTACTGTTATATTGACCAGTAGAGACAGTACTCTTGAAGCAAATTTGTCTTGAAGCACATTTGTTTTGGGCGGAAGATAAAAATTCTCGGTAGAATTTTGTCGTCTTACAAAAGATAAGAATGTTTGCAGCCTTAGTTTGCATTGGGGGAAACTGGGTTTTTATCACACTTAGCGTATTTATCACGAAATCTTCAGGACCCAATGGGCTCCTTAATCTTTGCGTGTTGTTCCTCTCTTTGAGTGCTATAGTGTCCAGCTCGAAACGAAACTTATTCTTATTAATTGTTCTTCCCAGTATGTTTCTTTTAACGTTAATTCTGACAATTTAGTGCTCAATGATAACTTAATATATGTTAACATCCGGGCAAACAGACAAACATCTTTTTTTTTTTTTTTTCTCACATGTGTTTAACTAGGATATCAAGGTGGATTTCTCTCGTAACAATGTTTCCTGAGATCGAGGAAAGTCAGTTATCGCTACGTTGCTCCAATGTCCAGACCTAATAAATGATCGAAACCTAAGGTGAGACATACATGTTCTTGAGAGTTTTGAATACCCTTTACTTGGTTTAGTTATATTTAGTAGAGCCGCAACAAGGTTTAAGTATAGCCTGGGTAGCGCGAGTTTCCGCATTTTGGCTGCGCAAAAATTGAGCGAAGAAAATGTAGGGCTAGGAAAGGGAGGAGATAGAACGCAAAATATGCGTGATGACTACGAGATATGAGAATCATATATTTGGAAACTAAGATAATTGCAACTGACAATTTAACTCCACTCCCGAGATGAAAAGAACAAAAAGAATTTTGCAAGACAACTATAATGACAGAAATGCTGGGTGAATACATGACACATGTTGGTGATTTATTTGTTTTCGTTTTCGCTTAGAAAGAAAATATTTACACACATTAATTTCTAGCAACGTTCAAATCAAGCTTATAATTGCAAGAGAAGTATGCGGTATATTCTTCTACCTTATCTAGAAAAAAAAATATCTTATTTCCCTATTTGATGCTACTGAAGTTTAGAATGTTTTAGACTTTGCCGACAAGAGACAACTGTGTAACAAATCGTAATGCTCCATTCCCCATCGTTCACAACACGTATGGTGCAAAACCAAACGATGTAATCTGCTGCCATTGTTTAATCGCTATATATGATAGCCAACTGACTATCTAGCGGAACCATTGGCCGCCTTCCCGCAGATGTCAGGTGGCACTATAGACCTGAGAGAAAAACAAAGACTTTTTAGTGTATTTGCTGATCAAATTCAAGGTCAGATTTACGTAACATATTATTCTATGGATTCTAATAGGGTTGATCCCAAGGTCAGTTTATTCTGGCCCGAACGAAAGCTCAGTCAGTCATTTTCTTATTCCGCGGACCCCTTTAATACGGCCACCCCGTTAATGCCGCCATATTTTCAGTTAGGGGCACCTTGGTGACCTGATTAACGGGGTTTGACTGTTTTTTAATTTCATCGCCGTTTCACCGAAAAAATAGACCTTGACGTGCACGGCATATCTAGCCTTGGATGATCAGTGTAATCTAGTGTAGTTCTCAAAACTAAAATCGTGTATCAACTACTGCAATGTAATGTAAACTCTATACAGTTTTAAAAAGCTTATACGAGAAACAGTTTCAAGAAGAGGTGTATGCTTGCTTTTGGGACTAGTTCACTCGTCCTGATCAGAAACAGAGCTAAAAAGCGCCGCAAAAAGCCTAAATTTCTCATCGTTTAAGCGAAATTTAACAGGTATCATCCAGGGACCGTTAGCTGGGGTATCATCTTGCTGATCTAGTTACTCGGTTTACTTCTTCTCACGCCGGCTAACAGCCCAGCTCCAGGCCTTACGAGGATAGATTGTTTAAGGCCTGAGAATTTCTTTACTTTTCTAACTGAGCCTTTGCTATATAATCCCTGAGAGCCATTTTGTATCATTTTTCACAGGGCTTAAATCAAAATTTAATTCCTGTCGGGTGATGGGAAGGGCCATTAGGGATGGCCCAATTAGGAATCCCAAATGTTAGTATCTGAACATAACCTCGGTTGCCTTGCTGAACTTAACATACACGTTTGGCCGTTTTCATGACTTGTATCACACTTACTTAGATCGGGACTACTGGTCGCATGACGTTCTCTGTAAAACGGCCAAGGACGTTTCCAGGTGGCGCATACCGAGCCACTATGTAGGTCTGGATTGGGGGACGTCCTCCAACTACGGTGGCGATACCTGCTCCTACCATTGTAGTCCCATTCCAAACAATCTAACGAAAAAAAAAACATTTTCATCATGATGTGCAAGAGCACGATCTGTTTCATTCTCCCTAATTTACGAGGAAACGCGAAATTAATTCACAAGGCATGAGGTTTGTCTTGTGGCCTGACCGAATCTTTTGGACGATCTATTCGTTGCTTATTGTCATTCCGGCTTTAAGCCGGAGGGGGAACCCCCAAATGAAAAGGTCTAGGATACTCGTCGTGTGGCTTAAAGGTGTAAATCATAAAGGATTTTCATTAAGGGTGTTCAGGGTAAAACGTCATGATATACCTTAAAGAATTTTGTAGGGCTCCACTCAAAGAAGTAATAAGCATATGATGTCTGTCATTTTAAAGTGGTATCACATGGGTTTCAAATAATGCTTGTGCCACACCCAGATTGGTCTTCTTTAGGGATTTAATTAAAATGTTCCGAGGAGCATCCCCGATCTTTTCACATAAATATGATCCCCCGCCCTGGCCGAGGACACGCTGTTGTGTTCTTGGGCAAGACACTTAACTCTCACAGTGCCTCTCTCCACCCAGGAGTGTAAATGAGTACTTGCGAATTGTTGGGGAAACCTAACAAATTGCGGGGCAGTGACCTGCGATGGACTAGCATCCCGTCCATGGGGAGTAGAAATACTCCTACCCGCCTCATGCTACAGAAACTGGGATAAGCTCCGGCAGTTATGAGCCATCGGTTCTAAGGCTTCACTTTTTTTATGATCCCCCTCCCCTCCCCCGAGCCATTAAGCCAGAGGTAACGATCTCCTGTTTTACATTAGAAAAGAAATGTTATTGGATCAAAGGTAAATTTTGCTGTTGTCTTTCACAGTAGATGTCATTATCATACCTGAGTGAAGTGGCCGATGTCAGATTCAAGAAACTCTTGGATTGTTTGTGGCGGTCTGTCATAATCGTACAGAAGCTCTTCACTATACCTATGCAACAGCAGTATAAACAAGATATGTCGATCAGGAAATTGGGTTATTGCAAATTGGTTCAGAAAATTATGAGCCTTGATTCACAGTTCAGCAGACTATTTTGGCCCATTGCTCGAAGATCATCATCAGTGGTTTACACTTGAGTATCAAAAAGTATTTGGTGTTTTATTGGTACGATGCACGACTGGTTCACAGAAGCTCGCAGATGTTTGACTGACACGCTCGGAAACATTTTCCCGCGCTTTGAGTCAGCTATATGTATTTACGTCGAGTTTTGATTGGTTCGTTGGAGTGTCGGTGTGCTTTGTCATTGGCCAGAGGGATCACTCTGGTTTTGGTTTTACGACATTCTGTTGAAAACCGCTGTATGGTCTTTAACTACTTATAATTTATACTCAACGATATTTTTCCTTGGATGGGAGGCAGTTTTTGGAACAATTTAAGTAGTTGCTTGATGGGAGGTGGATAATATTTTTATCAGTTAAACTATCGGTATTATTTGAAATTGTGAATAGCACTACATTTTCACTCTCGCCACCCTCACCACCTCCACCTCTTCATCCCTTTATCATATGTACTTCGATCCACAATATCAATTGGACATTAGAGAGATACATCAGCCTCTATTGCGAGGAGTGAAGTGGACTGGACACCAGAAAGAAAACGAAAGAGAGAAAGACTTAAAGCAATATGGAATAAAGACAGTTGAGGACGAGCAGTGAAGACGTGACTCCTCTGGAGAAATCACTTTATGGAATTTTTCCTATCTTTTTGCCGGTCTTCAGATCAAAACTGTTACTGTAAAAAAACCGCGTGTAAGAACCTAGTGGATTAGGAACCTGGGAGAAATTTCCCATTTTAATACAAAAAATATGAGAACCAGTTTAGTCAAGCAAGATCAAGCAGGTTTTTATATGTGGGTTACAGTTAATAAATTATGAATTCTTGTTCTAGAGACAACGCTACACATATGTATTCCGTAATCAGTTGTGCTAGGCTCGTCATAATACAGTTGTGAATAAACGCTATATATTTAGACCAAATCCAGTTTTATTTATTTTTCTAGTAATCAACAACTATATCTCCTTCAAAGAAATTGAGAACATAATTAATAACCTACTTGCCCTAATTGTCAATAACAAAATACAAAAATCTATTTTTCTAGACTTCAAAAACTGTAGGTTCTTGCACGGGGGTCTTCACTGTACCTACCAGGATTCTACTGCGTCGGAGCAACTGCGGGTAGTTGAAGCCCTAACAAAATACAGATTTTCTCCTTCATCAATGCCCTGTTCGTGCACAAAGGTCTCTGTCGCTGCCAGGTGGTCAGCCCATGCTTGAGCATGCTGAGCCAGTACATCACTCCAGGCCAGCGGTTGTGACCCATGAAGAGCTCGCTTGGCGTTGTGAGCTTGCAGACAGGCAGCATCTTTTTTTGGTCCAAAAAAAAAAAAATAACAATTTTTCTATTTAATGGGCCTTTGAAATGACGAAAAGTTGAGAAAAGTAATAGAGCAAAGTAACCTGTGAGCGTATGCAGGAATGTCTATCCATAACGCGTGATATATCTGTCCCAAAATATAAATAATCACTACATAGTTCAAATGGGAAATATAACATTAACTAATTTCGGAATAGAAATCAGGCTAATAATGCACAGTGGAGTTATAGTGAAAGCAGCGAGTCCACAATGTTACGCCCACTTGCTTAATATAGATGTTAGATATACCATACATGTTTCCAAATCCTACCGGGACGGTAAGCCAAATTTAGTTTCATCCCTGTTTCAACTACGGAGATTAATTCGCTATTGGTAAGATGTTAACCAGCCGTTTTAACAAGAGTCCCATCTCAGAAGACCTGTCGCATACCCGACCGGTATTCAGGAGGTCATAAGTTCGTGCCCTATCGAGGACTCTGAATTTTCTCTCTCATTTTGTCAATATCGTTACAAAGAAACATTTCGCCAGCCAAGCGTCACTTTTACCATGACTTCGTTTCTACACTTAATTTTCTGTTCGCTATTTTGTTGATGACACAAAACATGCAGCAATTACAGCAAAAGCAACAAAGATAAGATGAAAATAGGAGGGAAAAACCTCACCTTCTGGTGCTAAAGTAGGAGGGGCCATAGTCGACGGTGGCTCAGTGGGCGGTGCCATGGTCGACGGCTGTTCCATAGTCGACGGCGACTCAGTCGACGGTGGCATAGTTGACGGCGGCTCCGTCGACGGTGGCTTAGTCGACGGCGGCTCAGTTGACGGTGGTATAGTTGACGGCGACTCAGTCGACGGTGGCATAGTTGACGGCGACTCAGTCGACGGTGGTATAGTCGACGGCGACTCAGTCGACGGTGGAATAGTCGACGGCGACTCAGTCGACGGTGATATAGTTGACGGCGACTCAGTCGACGGTGGTATAGTTGACGGCGACTCAGTCGACGGTGGTATAGTCGACGGCGACTCAGTCGATGGTGGTATAGTCGACGGCGACTCAGTCGACGGTGGTATAGTCGACGATGGCATAGTTGACGGCGACTCAGTCGACGGTGGCATAGTCGACGGTGACTCAGTCGACGGTGGTATAGTCGACGGCGACTCAGTCGACGGTGGCATAGTTGACGGCGACTCAGTCGACGGTGGCATAGTCGATGGCGACTCAGTCGACTTTGGTATAGTCGACGGTGGTATAGTCGACGGCGACTCAGTCGATGGTGGCATAGTCGACAGGGACTCAGTCGACGGTGGCATAGTCGACGGCGACATAGTAGACGGTGGCATAGTCGAAGGCGGTGTCATAGTCGACGGCGGTGCCATAGTTGACGGCGTCGTTGGTCGTTCGGTTATTGGAGCCATCATTGTTGGCGCTAATTATGTAAAAGTTAAAGTAATAAAAAACAACTCGAGCAATACACTAGCACTAAATGTAACTATCATCTGATATCATTAACATGTACAAATAGGGAATATTTTTGCCGCAATGACTTTAGCTTGTAACAAAAGATAATACCAATGGAAGTCTAACCGCTTTATTAAGTAAGGCCTGTTCATGGAGGATTTGAGCCAGAGACCCTCGGACGTTTACTAAAATCACTCGGCTGCGTTACCTCCCACTAATTTGAGCTAACAATCATCCAACAGTAATTGATCACAAATTTTCAGAAATCAGTTACTATTTCTTTTATTTCTCAGTTAAAGGAGCTGCGTCTCGGACAGCGCTTCTTGACAAATTGGCCAATATTTTCATTTTTTCCCTCGTAATCCATTTAAATCTTCCTCAGTAATACCCATCCTTGGTAATTCCTGGTTTAACCGGCTGCGATTACTTGAAACATTGTGTCAACGTTGCCTCTATTCACAATCTTTAACAAATGCTGCCCACCTCAGTGATACTACTGACTTGGTTCAATTAACTTAAACAATTATCGCCCCTTCAACTCACGTTCGCATTCCCCACATGTGGCATTGCAGTTCTGAACCAGAAACCTAAAAAAGAAGCTGCTGGCGTCCGTAAGATCACATAAGCTAAGTGCTTTATAGCCCGCACAATTTGAAGAGATGTCAGCGATGCAAACTGAGAAGACAAAGAAAATGGTGCAATTTTGTTTAATTCTTAATTTTTCTACAACTAAATGGCGAATGAAATGTAGGTCAACTGCTTCTTTTTCATAGACCATCGAATGCTGGTCTTTACACATGAAGTTTAAATACATCATATAACCACAATACAAAAATAGTTATTGTTGAACCAAACTAAATTGAACTGTGTTGTTGGTAATTTCACCAAATCTTTTTCAGCAGGAAGGACAATAAAAAGCCGTAATATACGATTTGTTATTAACTGTAAAGAAAGTCACGTAGTTTTGACAACATGTATATATTCTTTATTTGTCCTGTGGCACAAGTGAGGATGAAGGGAAAGAGTGTTCATCCTCCATATTTTTAGCCAGCAAGAGATTTAACAATTAGACTATGAGCTTGAGATTTCTATAGCCTGATAGTTGACGGGGGCCCAGCTCAAGTCAACTTTCACGCATTGCAATCGAGGGCGAATAATTGTTTTAGTACAAATCTACTATACGTGCAAAACGTTATCTAAATCCTCTTCACAGACACTTCGAAAACACAAAGAGGCCGCCAGTTTGTTAATAACCGCACACTGCTAGGTTACTCACTATCTAACAGAATAGATAGTGAGTAGCGAAGCCAATAAGAACATAGCATTCGTGATAGAAGGTATACGCTGGTAGATTTACCCAAAATTATGACAGACAACATGTGGACAGAAAAGAAAGTATCAAATTAAAAAAAAATAATATGCATAATTACCAGCACGACTTTGGAACTGTATAATAACACTCACATACATGAAATCTTTTCATTCGAAAACTTACCCGGTGGTGCAGTCGTCGGGGCTGGTGTTGGTGGTGGTTCTGAAAAAAGAAAAAATTGGACCATTTTAGTGGAATGTAAATTTAAAGTGTCTTGAAGATTCTTAACACTGGTATCAAAAAACGCTCATATGACAAACTAGATTAACCCTGCAGCAGAATGGAATGGGTTGAAACGAGTTTCTTGCGGTAACGTGGGGGGCAAGGCTTAGTCAGTGCTTCAGCAAAATTTCAAGACTAAATTTCTACTTGTTGGAGTAGTAGTTGGGGTGTGTGTAGTCAGTGGTGATTTATTCTCAGCGAGCCGAAGTTTTCTGATGTGATATTACATCCTCGTTAAACGACTTTGTTACAAATGCAATGAAACGACCGTGTGTACGAAAATTCCCGGCGCTGTAAAAGGTCTGACATTTCGACATGGACTGACACTGGTCTAATTACGGGAAAATTCTTCTTTGAAATAAGCCAATGAAAGACACTCACATGATAATACCTATCGCTCAAAATACTTCAATGTTGTACTTGACGCCCTTCTACTTACCTCGGCACCTTCCACAGGTAAAAAAGCAATTGGTCATTATAGCTGCTATTAACATGTTGTCCGTGATCTCACACCAGCCAAATGCCTTATAACCAGCACAACTGGGAAATTCATTCAACTGCTCTGGGGTGCAAACTGAGGAGTACGAATATAATTTTAATTTGATTGATAAGAGATCTCACTTGGATATAGATCAGTAAAAATAATACTGCTTTATACACCTCATGCTTTAAGACCCGGGGTGGTGGAGGGAGTGGGCGTCCCACGGGAAATTGGCTAGGCTAGCGTGCCTCCTCCCCTAGGTAGGAATTGTGACACCCAGGTGCTGCCCTAAGGTTGGGAATTTGACATGACATGGAAACTTGGAAGAGGCAGGAATGTTACATTCGCAAGGTGTCTGGGGTGGGGGGGGNCCCCCCCCCCCCGTGGCCTGGGGGTTAACAATGATAGGTGCATTAGAATTTTGAGAATTCATCTGTCAGTAAAATAACGTGAAGTATAAAATAATAAAGCTACGTACCTGGTAGGAGAGATGTCGGTGTCGGTGTCGGCACTGAAATAAAGATATCTACGAACAATGATATTAACGTTTTATCATTAAAGCAAATTGATTGAAATTCTGGCTTCTTATCCTGGAGAGAAAATCGTTTAAGTCCTAGACGCGATACCTGAACAAATTGTAACTACACTTTACAAAATCCAAGTCCCATGAAGAATAACATAACAACACACTTAAAAATGTAAGTCAATGGGTCCGATAAGGTATTAAGACGAAATACGATAGGAAATCGAGCAATAGAATTTCAGTTTTTAGCGGGCAAGAACCTTGTACCAGAATAATTTTAGGCAGTTTACAGTCCATTTTACATTTTCTTAAGTTAAAGATATAAATAGTTACCTGAAATAAAACCCAAAACAATTTCCCATGGGAACTCGAGAGAATAAATTTCAAAGTTCAGAGAAATTGTGAAAACACAGATAAAATTTCTTCATCAGTTATATTTTACCAGTACTTTCAAGTGTTTCATATGAAGTTCAGAATTTGTTTTCGACATTTGGTGTTGTAAGAAATGATTTTTTTTTAAGAAGATATATTTGAAACAGCCGCACAGAAGTTTGCGAAACAAACTAAATAATCTCGGTACGAAGTTTTTGTCCACTTGTTATTCGAACTGGTGGAGTTTTTCTTACGTTTTTTTGCTAATGACCAAGTAGGTATATCCGTGAACATGGTGATGGCGTAATCATATACAAGCCTTATAGGCCCATTGTCCGGGATATCACCTCATTAGTTCTTAAGTGAGGCGAGCGTGATTTCAATACAGATATATTTTATGAAATAGGGTAAGCCTGAATGACACATTCTGGCCATCCACCTAAATTTCAGTGAGTACGGTATAATCCATCTGGAAAACTCTAACCTTGGCGTTTTTCAACTTGATATCTGCCCAACCTGCCAAACCTGATTTCGGCAGGAAGCGCTAGAAAAGAACTGCGTGGGGCGGCATCACATGCGACTGGGAATGAAGCGAGAAACAAACCAATATACAAGACGAGCATTTTTCTTCAGCATGCCCTCAACTGGAGAAATCAAGCACAACAAGATGTTAATTTTAAAAAGCTGTGATTGAGCAAATAACATGAAAACTGTTTTGTAAACTTACTCGCCGCTGTAGAATGGAAGCCTGGTACCTTGATCCCTTTCGATGAGCTTTAAGATCAAATATTTATCTGTAAAGACTCAATCTGACATATATTTCTGGTTATTTCACTGAGCACAACGCCGACAAATGCTCATGTCCCATTTCTCTTTAAAAACCCCGTTTTAATGAACGATGATAGAACAGAATCTTCCTTTTTAGCGGCCGCGAAAATTCCTTCCTTCCTTCCTTGCGATTAACTTATCTGTTGATATACATGTAAGGCCTTAATATCGTTCAGAATTAATTTTGTTGCTCAACAAACATCGAATTGTGTAAATCACAGGTTAGGCTTTATTATGTCTCTTGGTTAAATTCTCGAACCGCAAGCTGTTGAGACTGATTTCCTTTGCTAGAGCACATCATGTAGTTACATAAAAATCAAATGTAAAAAAGCACTGTTAATAATTTTAAAGCGTTTCAATCCGTTCATAATTAAGGCATTTGAAGTCGATCCATACCATGCAAAATTGTCGATGGAAAATTTTTTGCAAGGACACTCACTCATCGTTGACTTTTAAGTACATATGATGAACTGAGAGCCAGCAACTGCTAAAGCTATTACTTGAACGATCTTAATTTGTAGATCTCTTCTCGTGCTTTTTACAGTACAACGTCTGAGATATTATTCATGATTCAACATTGGAATCGAAGGAAACAAGTAGAATCAATCAACTGCTGCTGCCTAACTTTATGGGATACCAAGTGACCGTTCTTTTGCGGACATCGTACAAATGGGTAAATGAACTGAACTCATCACATAAAGCAAATAGTATTAAAGTCACAGAAAAACATTAACACTACCTGTGAAACGCTAAAAGAACCCTGCAATTCCCTCAACGAAGATGGCGTGAAATGCTAATACTTCAAACGTTATATCAGACTGATAGCAACTTGTTAATATGTCGATAATATCAGTTACCTATATGCTGGCATCATCATGGCGCGCACAAACAAATCGATAAATAACGCCTCCATGCGCGAAATTCTTTTACGACAACATGAGACGAAACGTATAGGTTATAGCAGAAGATTCAGTGAAGATCATGTTCAGTTGACATGTTGGAATACACGATTTCTTTAAATTAATCACGGTATGTTTCTTCGATTCACAGTTATTTCTGCAACTTCGGGTCTAGTTGCAATATCTAAACTGAAAGGCCTGATCCCGGCAACTCTCGAAAGGTTGTTTCGGAGAGTTAATTGCTTGCCAGTAACATTAAATTTCTGTTAAAATCTAGCTCCCAAAGGCCCCTCCCCACTTAATTCACCCTTCGATTCGCCGACCCTGGTAATTGCAGATTGAATTTAAAGACAATCTTTGTAAGAGGTGACATGGGTCTGGATTAGAAAGTCAACTGATCATTTTTACCAGTATTCCAGTACACCAAGTGAATCAACTAATATGATTCTTGAAAGGATCACAGAGAACCGAAATTCTGATAGTCAACGTTTCCCCAGCGCGCTAACAAAAGCTAACAAAATAATTACATCATGGAGTCATTTCATTATCTCTTACGCGATGTATAATATGGGCATTCGCCTGGTTGAGTAGCAAAATTTAACTTTTCATCCCCTTTTTTCGCTAATGGTAAAATTTGAAATATCACGCTAAGAGTATGATTGAAAATCAAGCTAAATCCTTGTCTTAAATAAACAACAAATTGACAAACACAATTAACGCTGTATAACGATAACGAAAACACCACGCACACTCATCACACACACTGATATGAAGCAAATATATTTCAAAGGAACAGATGAATTAGTGAAGCAAACGTAATCAGGTTTTAGCCTTAAATCCATTTAATATTGCATTAGAGCCGGAGAGAAAAAGAAACATAGATGGAAGTCGAGGTA